TTCCCTTCCCTGGGTTAAGGAGCAGCGCACACACAGGCTCTCTGCTCAGCACACCTCTGCAAGCTTTGGCTCAGGAGCAGGGCAGAGCAGAGCTTGCTATCTCAAGAGTTTTGCTTATGGTAAAAAGAGAAGGACGTGCTTAGAAGTGCCATAATGAAGCTAATGCCTGGGGTGTCTGCTCATCCCTGGGTTGAATACAGAAGATCCTGGTTTGTCCAGAAAATGCAGTGGGGAAGCTGCTGTTCAGAGAAGTTGTTGTGATCCCTGGTCCCCCATCAGGGAGCCTGGGGCTGTGCCAGAGCCAGGGACCCCCCCACACCATTGGGGGGCAGCACTCACTTTTTGACAGGCTCCTCCCCATGCTTCATCAGCAGCCGGATGGCTGTGGGCGCCGTGTAGAACTTGGTCACCTTGTACTTGTCAACGATGCTCCACATTCGCCCAACGTCCGGGTAGGTGGGGACACCTTCAAACTGAGTTGGAAACAGGCCAGTGACACAGCTGTTCATTAGTGCTACCGCCCTGCAACCATCTGCAGCACCTTCGCAAGCAACAGGTGCCGAGAGCGATGGGGAACAGCAGTTGGACCCCAGCGTGTCCTTAACTGGCATGCAGGGGGCACTGTGCAGTGTGAAACCAGTCTGGTCCGTGGCCCCATCTAACCCACTCCTCAGTATGGATTTGGCAACCCCTCCCACGCTAGATGTCCTAGCCAATGTCCCCACAAACATGCTAGCAATGAGGGTACTTGGGTGGCTATTGCAGCAAAAGCTATCCCACCAGCTCAATGACACTCCTCACAAGGCTCAGGGCGATGGATCCAAACATGGAGTTACAGAACCACAACCAAAGGCACCAAGAACCTTAAAAAGATTCCCCCAAAGTGGAAGTGATTTTCCTGCTTGCATTGACCCACGGGAGCCTTGGGAAAGGGCCTCTGGCTCCCTGTTTTGCCATACACTGTCAAAGGAGATGCAGGCACAAGAGTTAAATACAGGCTGTCAGACCAGCTTGGGCAGCATGAACATCGCTCCCTGCTCATGATCCAGCTTTCATATTAGCCTGCAGCAGCCCTGGCTCCCCTGGTACAGGAGGCTTGTATTTCTAAGGGAAAGAAACAGGGGAGCATTTGAAAAATTAACCACCCAGAAGTCACGCACACAACCTAGCCCTCCCCTCTACCACTGAGCAGTCACCCAAGCCTTCCTTGGGAGCTGCCACCCTTCCTCGCAGAGAACAACTGCAACATAGCACAGGTGGAGGAGGCTTTGCACACAAGGGAAAAGTATGTCCTGCCATGCTCAGCGCAGAGCAATTCAGGGATGCAGCTCAGCATCATGACCAATACCTTCAATCCAGCTGCCACCCAGCACTTACTAATATACTAGTTGCCCCGTTTGCCAGGGGTCCGTAAGTGAGGTAGGAATGGCCAGTTATCCATCCAATGTCAGCTGTGCACCAGTAGATATCCTCGGGGTGGTAATCAAACACATATTTAAACGAAGTGGCAACAAAGAGCATGTATCCACCCACTGTGTGCAGCACACCCTGCAAGAAGAAGGCACAACAATCCTCAGGGCAAGCTCCTAGCCAAGGCTCTTCCCAGTCCAAGCTCAGCATCACTGGTCCATTTAGCACAAGCAGCAACTGAGCTGGAATGACCCACCCATCCACTCTCCCAAAGCCTCCATAGCTCCTCTTCCCACTGAGGCCTCCCAAAGCAACCCTTACTGGTTCCCATCTCTGAGGTATTACTGCAGTTCAGAGCCTGTCCCCACAGGGCAGCGAGTCAGGCAGAGGAGCATACCTTAGGTTTCCCAGTTGAGCCACTGGTGTAGAGGATGAAAAGTTCATCCTCCGCATCGCACCACTCGGGTTCACACTCCGTGCTGGCACCGCTCATCAGCTCATGCCACCACATGTTTGTGGCTGGATCCCAGGGGGTCTGAGAAAAGTGAAAGATTAGAAACAGGACCCCCAGAAGTTGAGAGAGGGGACAAAGGGCTGCAGCCCCAACCTCTCTGCCCCTCAGGGCCTGTCCAGGCAGGTACCCACAGCATGGCTTCTGCCTAGAGCCATTCGCCGCAAACCGTGCATCAGAGCTGCAGCTCCCATTCAAGAAGCACCACAGCAACCGGTAAAACCTTTTAACAACGTCCAACTACAAGACCTGAAGCACGTTTTCCAAACCACTGGCAATGTCCATAAATCCCTCTCACCAGCAGCCGTGAGAAGGGCTGCACAAGCTGCTCTGCAGTGTCATGGCAAACAGGCTCCCCCTTCCTGCTCTCTTGGAGCTGCCCTGAGCAGCAATCAAACACCAAAGCAGCAGCCAACCCTTCGCATGGCCATGTATTCACTGGCCCCAGACAACTCATGGGGACCCCCTACTGCAGGTGCCAGAGCTATAACAGGGCTACCAACACTTTCGACTGGTTGGCAGAGATCACCCTGAAAGTCGCCTTGGCTGGCCACATCTCCAGGACAGCACAGCTCAGTGCTAGGCCTAATTTCCCCTGACCTTCTCTCCTTTCCTCAGAGGAACTTGGAAACGGCTGATCGGGCAACACTCCTCAGCCAGAGAGCAGACCTCTGCTTTCCACATCTCTGCAAGGCCAGGAATGCAGACCCAAAGCCTTGCAGCACAGGAGGCCAACTTGCAGCTGGGGCACATTTTCTCCTTGCAGAGTTAGGGCCCACCATGCAAGCACAGGCTGCACACAAGAGTCCCCAAGATGTAAGGCAGGCTCCAGCAGTCACTCAGACAAGACTGTCTTGTTAGCAAACAGGACTGGAATTAGCATTTGGTCTAGGAGGTAGAGAGGCAAATGGCCAGATGCCACCCCAGAGAAGCAGGAAGGGAACCTGGGCAGCAGAGCACCTAGCTACAGCTGAACTCATGGCATTTGCCAAGTCGGTGGGTCTCCAGGCTCAAGTCCATCCTCTGTGTGTGAGCTCCCCAGCAGTGAGTTGGATCCCAGCAGCTCCTATCTCCGGGCTGTATAAAGCAGCTGAAGGAAAGCAAATGCCAGTACTGGAAGTCTTGCACTCCAAAATTCCCTCAGCTGGGACATCCTGAGGCATGGAGAACAGCCAAGGGATCACACAGTGACTCTCTGCGTCCCTCAAGATGTTAAAAGTGCCACTGGGATCCCACAGTCCAGCAGCAGCCAGAAGCTCAGCACACATGATACAGGGAACACCAACTACTCCGCCCCTTTGCTGACAGCATGGCTCATCTGAGTCCATTTAGAAAGCTCACATAGATCCCCCAGCTCACCCACGTAACTCCTGGAGCCTGATTTCCACAAGTCTGGTGCATCACCATGCTCCCAGCAAGGTACAATGTCAAACGAGACCAAGCTAGGTTCCCACCGACTCAAACACTTTCCTGCATCCCTCATTCAAAGATTCCTTAATTTACCATCAAACTTCCTCCAACCTATGGAACAAGTCAGAGCCCTGATATAGCACATAGCCAGTGAAACCAGGCCTGCCTTCAGTTCACCTACTAGCCAGGGGCTGCCAAAGAACACGTTCCTTTTTTTCACAACGCAGCTAAACAAAGATTAAAAAGGACACGCAGCAGAGGTGAAGGCGGGGGCTGCTCATGGTCTTTGAGAGGTGCCCCACACACTTGAGCTGGACACCCTGATCTAGGCTGGCTTCTAAGTAACACACACAGAGTTTGGTGCAACCATGCTAGGAGCTAGCCCAATACCAGACACCCTGCTCCAGGGACCCGGGAAGGCCCCTCTGCTGTTTCCTGCCAAGCCCCCAGCCCCTGGGCGGCTGATGTCGGAGGAATGGAGAAAGCTTAAAACCTCAAAAACTAACTGTTGCTAAAAGAAGCCTGCCCAGGTGACTATGGGCAAGCCCTGACTCTCTGGCGCTCTGGTAGAGCGCACGTGTTGGCCGGCCATCGCTTTATTCAGGCGGGTTCCTGGGGTCATAGCTCCGGGGAAGGTGTGAGCAGAGTCCACCCGCTGGGTCAGGCACTGAAGCTCCAGGCTTCCTGCCCACAACACACAACAGCAGCTGGAAAGTTGTGTGTGATTCCTGCCAATCTCATTACAAAGGGAAGCACATCGTGAGAACTATTTTTAAAGGAAAACACATGAAATGTTATCGTAACCCTGGGAAGCAGGGCAGTGAATCCCAGCGGTTCTGCATTTCACCTTGTCAGCAAGTTCATATGCATCCAGATGTCTTTACAGAAGTGGATGTGCCTCCAGCAGCAAAGTTGGTGCCACTGCATTAACACCAAAAACGCACAGAGCTCTGGCTGGACAGGCAGAGGGTGCAGCTGTCTCCCCGTTACGCTGCACAGCTTCTCATTGTCACAGAAAACAAGGGGGTTCGGACTAATCCTTCCAAAGAGGAAGCAGAAGACAGGCTATTGGCCCTAGCAGGCCCCAGCACACATCCCCCTTGTTCTCCACAATCTTTCTCCTTCAGGAGGCCTCCAGCCCCTACAGCAGCCACAGGAGCTTCAACCACATTTGCTCACTGCTCTCACTCTGCTGGGTGAAAGGGACACAGACCCCCAATGAGTGCAGCCAAGCAGCAAGTGGTATCTATCGCTAACATGCAACTGCTGGTAACCTGATTAGGAAGACACGTGTGGCCGTGCAGAGTCAGAGCGGTTAGAAAGGTGGAGCGCTGGAGGGAAGCGGGGGGGAGAGGCACTGAGAGGAGGAAGGCAGTGCTGCGCGTAAATACCTTGGGATGTAGTCTCTGTGAGCTTGCAGTCTTTTTTTCCTGTTAAAAATCCACAAAGAGGGTGTGAAAGTTGAGAAGCAGAGGATCCACATCAGGCTTTGCCGGCAAGGAGTGGTACAGGGTGCTGACAGATTGGCCTGGCAGGGCAAAAAGCCCTCTGATCCAGAGCCCAGGCCAGGAGATGCCCTCCGAGCAAAAGTATTACCATTTCCATCGCGTTCCCTAGATATGTGCCGCCTCTGCGGCGGGTCTCTGTGTGGGCCACCCCCCTGCACGCACACCACCGGTCGGGAACAAACACGCGCAGCAGGCAGACAGCCCGCTGGCCTCCGATGGTGCTCCACAAGCCACGGGCACAGAAAAAAGGCACTCACGAGGGAAAGCGATCTTTATTCAAGTGTCTGAACAAGGACAGCAGCAAGAGCCGGAGGGTAACGCGCACGCCCCCTCTAGCCTCCTCCTCCTCCTGGGACATACCGCACAACAACCTCACATGACCAACAGCAACCAGCGCAGGGGACAGGCTTCTCTACGGCCTCCCGATCAAGACCAGAGTATAAAAATGCTGACCTGGTCCTGTTTTCCCATGCCTTAGCAGCTACCCTATCCTAGCAAGAGGAGGAGCAGAGGAGGCCAACGTAACACACCCAGACGTGGCAAGCAAGAGACAACACCTCCATAAAACTAATACAGCTTCACAAGCAAAACTAACCTAAAGACACATAATCTGCTGTACTCGTTGCTCCAGGGACATGCACAGGCCATCCCTTTTGAAAGCACAGCCCAAAGCTCAGTCGAATGCACTCTCCAAATAAAACCCACTTCTGGGTAAGCACAGCCTGCTCTTGCCGTATCCCAGCATCTGGAATAGCTCAATGCACTGTTATGAGGTACCCAGCGTCCCTCTGCTCAGTCCTCTCTCTGCAAAGACTCGGGGCAACTGTCCAAGTTCAATCAATGAAGAGCACATGTGCCCTCACCGGCTCTCACTAGCCATCGTGGCACCCAGTTCCACCAGTAAAGGGAGCACGCGCTTTCTGCTGGAGGCCATAAATAGTTTGAAAACAGCCATTTTCTATCAGGTGGGGGCGCTGGCATGTACAGTGGCAGGTCCAGAGGCAGATGAACAGTCTGAGAGATAAAAACAAGAAACTGTGCCTTGCTAATGTCAGCGACACAGTAGCTGCACGATTTTGATCTCATGATTAGCTATTACCGTGTTGTGGGATTGTGTTGCATCCAGGCCACAAGTATAAATCTCCTGTTTTTCCCTCCCACTTCCACTGTCAGCTGCAGTGCAGAAGGACATGGCTCCTTGCACAATAGGGAAGATAGATATAGGATTAAGAAAGAAAAGTCCTTCACTGGGCACATGAAAACATGAACCGTGTCCCAGTCCTAGGGGCTTCCGGCCTTTGGAAGATATACCCCGCTGTGCTTCGCAGGGGTCCTGTGGGCTGGCAGCTAGTGACAGCATTAAAGGAAGCAACAGGGAGAAGGTCTTGGAAAGAGGAAGGAACCCTTTCTCATACCACTTGCAATGCAACAACAGGGAGGAGGGGAGAAACAGGAACAGGAGCCAGCAAACAGGAGCATCCAGGGAAGCCCTGCAGTGGTTTCACATCAGTTGATTTGCTGGGCCCAGACCCATATCAAAACCACACCATCCTCCCATCATGCCCCATACCTGTACGTCCTGGCAGAGCCTTTTGAGAGGGGGAGACTTGCTGCACGTCCCGTCCACTGCTAACTCTTCCCTCCCCAGGTGCTTGACCACGATGCACTTTTTCAAAGGGGAGCCCCTGTAAAGGGGACAGAGTTGTCAGATGAGGCTACTCGGACAACAACGGGCTGAGCCTGCCCTTCACAGGTTTTACAAAATACACTGGAGGCAGAGAAGAGGCACCTGAGCTGCATTTGTTGAGAGCTAGAGCCAATGCTGCCTGCATGCCTGTGCCAGTAACTCACTAAAGAGAGCTGCTCTGGCTGTGGCTCACCGAGGGAAGAGGCTGGATTCCCCCACAGCCCCCATGACATGTCAAGTGGCTGCTCCCATCTCTACGTGTGACAAGCAGTCTACCTTCAGAAAGAGGAAAGGCTTCCAAAGAATGGCTTTTTGTCCGACTTAACTGGGGATTACCAGAGCATACATACGACACAAACAAAGCAATCAAATCTCTTTTCAACCGAATCAGGGTACCAACACATTGTCTCCATCAGTTAATTACATCACCTTCAATTCCCAACTCCAGAATTGCCTCTGTCCTGCCACAGATCTACTACCGCAAACATACAAGCTGGAGTTTCAAGTGCTTTTGAAGAGTTTGAATTTCTAACGTGCCGAGTACCTGCCCTAAGTTTGCACGGGTGACCTAATTTACGAAATCAAATTCGGGATCATAAAAGCTACACGTTTTTCTCTCATCATTTGTGGGGTTCATATTTGAGCAGAAAATTAGATAATAGCTGATGTCTGTCAAAAACTGGATGCAAATCTCAAACATAAAGCTAGAAACGTCCCTCCCAAAGTCTTCTCTGTGCCGATACTAATAAGAACTCCGTGTGAGTGTTTACTCACTATCCTGGCCTGTAACACAATGAGCATGAGACTTCTAACGCCAGGGAACATCTAGACGCCTCAGGCATTACTTGGAAATTTGAATGCAAAACTCTAGGATGCATTTATGAATGCTAGCAATATTTGTTTATGAACCTGTTGCTTTTATCCCACCTTACCAAACCAGGAATACTTTGCCTGCCACTCGAAAGGCTACCAAAAAATCCTGACCAATATCTGTCTAGTTTTCCCCCAAAGATATCCACTATTGTCATCTGTATCTCTCTTACCCATGCAGAAGCTAGAGCAATTGGAGGACATGGTTCTGGAGTGGAAGCATAAGGATCTGGAGGGGGTCCTCTAGGTGCCCGTGACTGTGTGTGTAAGCCTGGTGAAGTCACTTCAGTGTGATTATTTCCCTTTCTGTAAGACGTGATGATAAAATCTGCCTATCTCCTTGTGGTTTACCAGTATCTCAGTGAAGATGCTCAAAAAAGTATCTTAACCTTATACAGCTTAACCATATACCTGTGCCCAGCTAGGCACTGATCCCCTGGTGCACATGCTGGTGCATTTCAGCTGAAGTGCCTGTTCCTGCCACACAGCTATTTCCCAACCTTGAAATATTTCTGGTTTATAGCTCTGTTTCTCATTACTGTCCAACAAGTGACTTGTGGGCAAGATTTAAGCCCCATCTTAACGTGCACCACAGCACTGTGTCAGATTTTGCAGCTTGCACGGAGGTGTGTTATTCCCTCCCACCGCAACAGCTGCTGCTGCAGGCACTGGGAGAGCTGCCACGGGCCACTGTGAGGGGCTGCAGCAGGGGTGGTGGATAAGACAGTCTGTCTCCAGCAAACCCCGTCATCCAGCATATGGGCCTTCAGGTCAGAACGGACAAGAAAAAAAACTTTAAAGAAAATATTTCTCAGAGGAGGGAATCCACACGTACATTACTTTGGAAAGGCTTATGAGTGCACAGCAGTTTGTGTCTGACCTGCTGCAGAGCCTGTCACCCTGTAGCAATTTCCATGTCCATTTGTGCAGGAGTCGATCCCGGCAGAAACGCCCTTCTTGCAGGAGAATTTGAACTTACTTGTCTTTACATTTCTGGAGGGCTTCATCTGCAATCTGTTTCAAGCTAATCAGCTTGTCCCCTCGATAAAAGGCATCTGCAAAACCCCAAGGAAAACATTAGAAGGGCTCCCTGGCTGAGGCAGCCTGGGACAGCTGGAAAGAAGGAGCACTTTCAGGAGGGCTGAGCAGAACTCATGGACCGGAGTGAGGGAAAGCAGGGAGGCAGCCGCTGGGAAAGGTTTCCTAATACGCCCTTTTGGCCTAGAGAAGCAAACGCCAAGAGAAATGGTGAAATTCCTTCCCTGGGAGAGGTCAAATTTGGCCCAATGAGTTTCTTGGTAATATTCTGTGGGGAACAATCTAACACGGCCAGAATACAGACTGCAAAGTCTAATGGGTCCTTTCTATAGCGTGGACCTATTAATAGTTACATCACTACCACAGAAAACATAGTTGGGGAAAAGGCAGTGGACTTGCATGCAAATATTACCACTTTCTCAATCCTTTGCTTTACAAGGCTGAGAGTTGCAATACAAATATTTCCTTGAAACCGGTGAGGGAGGGAATTCTCACATTCAGACTGCCCAATAAATGATGCATCTTGGAAACATCTGGCTTATTTTGAAGAGGACCATGGATAGACATTTTCAGAAACATGTTGTTAGCAGCTGGTGACAACATGCTTTGCAGAGCAAAGTGGGAGGGTTGCTTAAATACTTCAGTGCACATTGGAAGTGGAAAATAGTATTCAAGCACAGCTACAAGCAGTCTATCTGCCTTACAGCAGCTCAGTTGAAGCACTGCCCTTCCTCCTCCAGTTCCAAGTTCATTCAGCTTTTAAACAAAGACCTTTCAGACAGCCAAGCCTAACAGCCTAGGGTTGCAAGCCCAGAAGCGCGTTTTACCTGCTGTAACGAGGAGTGAACAACCACAGTCAAGAATCCGCTCACAGAGAGAGTCTGCCGAGAAACCTGCAAACTGATGGACATCCCACAACCAAGTTAGGAAGTGGCAGAACAGAAAACAACAGCAGCTGTGCAGTCCATCCAAGACAACCGATTGCACCAGGCATTGATGGAGAGAGTTAAAGGAGACGGAGACTCCCTAAAGGCCTTTCGGGGGAGAGAGTACAAGCCCTGACACATCATTCCACAGTTAAAGGCAGAAGAGGGCTGGGAAGTAGCACCTTAATCTAGTTGCCATCCACCTCATAGTCAGCACCCATCTTTCCAGCTCTCCCAGTTCCTCCCCCTGGCTCTCATGATAACAGAGCTGCTATCCCCCACAACAGCTCAGCACTGAGCAGTGCACGATGCTTGTTCCTACCACAACGGAATGAAGAGCCCCAATCCTGGCACAGGCAAGCATGGCTACAACCAGCTCCAGGATCATCGGCATGTAGATGGAAATGCGGTCTCCTTTTTTCACACCTGTGGAGGGAAAATGAAAATGTCATTTTTCCATGCTAATAACCTGTCAAAACAACTGTGGATGCAAGTGTTATCTGCCCACCAGACGGCTAGTATCCAAAGCTCTATAACCACAATGAAAGAACAGGATACAGGAAAAAGCTAGTGATTTTATTTCAACAATTACAATAAAGTTTCAGCTGGAGTTAGAGCTGAACAAGCCTTGGGTGTAACATCTTGACAATGCAGGCAATAACACATGCCCATAGGCACGAACTTCCACTGCCATTTCCCAGCAATGCCCACTCAGCCAAGGCAGACAGACTGGGAGCGCTCTGGCACCCAGCAATGCGAAGAGCATCATGCCAATAATGAAAGAGTAAGAACACGAACAGACAAGAGAGTTCCAGGTTGTCCAGGCACACCAGGTACACACTTTGCCTTTCAATCTCTACGTCTTGAAAAGATAAGTTGTAAGATAACTGCAATGGATGCTCCATATTCCAATCAGACACAGCCCCTGAAGGATGCAGAAATGCAACCAGGGCCCTCTGCTACCTGGAAAACCTCAGGGCATAGCTTCCTTCTCTGTACAGTTTACACAGCCAGCATTGATTAGCTTTCACAGACAGAGCTAGAGATAAAACTACAAAAGTGCTTTACAGAGGAAATCGGCATCTACCTTGCTATACAATTATGGAAACGTAACAGAGAAGGGAAGCATTTTGCCCAGAATTACTCAACAAACTAGCTGCAAAACGTGGACTCAGTCTCCAAAACCTTGGCCTAGTTCATCCCAACTGTACAGTACTCCTATGGCTCCAGTTGTGTACCTTGGCTGCGGAGAACATTGGCAAACTGACAGACTTTGTGCAGCAACTCATTGTATGTGATTTTCGCAGAATCCCCAGGCTCGTTCCCTTCCCTGGAAAAGCAAGGTAATATCTGTTAGTATAAAAGCATTACAAGGTAACAGTGACTCTGCAAATTCAGAGGTACTTACAGCTGGACAACATTTATGTTCTCACCTGCCCTTCTGAGCAAAGAGTAACCACGCCCCAGAGATTCCATCTTGGACGAAGCTTCCCCAATAGCAGGAAATTTTAGTCCAAAGTCCCCATCCCCATGTAGAATATTACATCTAAAAGCAATCAGATTCATGCAATGGAAGTACATAGTACTTTCAGGGAGAAGAGAGAGAGGCAAGAAGGAGCTACCAAAACCAGAGCTAAGAGTGCACACACTCAAGAGCAAGCCTGGATTTATGGTATGGCACCCTTGCTCACACACTTATGCCTGCAGATACGTTTGCATGAAACATTGGCCAATGTTGTCACGCAGTAACACCCAGCCCTTAAATACCTACCATCTGATTGAATGGAACGGGATGCCAAGGGCTGTCTTATTTTCCAAGGTCATATATAAATATAGCCATGTACATTTGTAAGAGTCATGTCTGCTTTGCGCCACACTCTCTGTGGTCCTCTGCAAACCAGCTCTGGGCTTCGGCAACTGAGGTGCCGGTTCAGTGGGATGTTGACATTGGCATCAGACACACACTGATGAGAAGAAGAGCCAAGAGCTGCACCCAGAGATGGAAGAGAAATGCCACATCCCCAGGGAAAGTGTGCGCTACTGAAGTAAAAACCAGCCAGATTTAACGCGATACAACGCTTCAGCCATTGCAGAGACATAGATGTGGGGGGGGGGCTCGCGGTGGATCAGAAGATGAACAAAGAGAATTTATACTGATTTCACTCTAGGCAGAGCAGCAGTCTCCCACGCTTGGGGAAGGAGGGATACACGTTCCCAGGTCGCTCGCCAAGGCAGCTGCCACACAAACATTAGTGATCCATTAAAGAAGAGGGGACTATCATCCTCAGCTGACAGTCCCCTTAGAAAAGCATCCCCAGGAGCATGTGCAGCCAAATGAAAATCCACACTACTTTTGAGGGGAAGCCAGTCTGCGCACTCTCCTGCCTTAGAACTGTAGCAAGGCTCTGCCTAACTTGGGAACAGAAACCTCACATCTTAAACATCTCATAGTTCACAGCATACAAAAATATTTACTGAAGTCTATCTAAAACTAATCACTACTCCTCCTTTACCCAGGAACACAGACAGAAGGAGAGCTCTTCTGAACCAGAAATCCATAAATGAACACGCTCCTCCCACACGTAGCGGATGCACTCCTCCAGGAAGGAGAACTGGGGGAGGCCCCTCTGATGCATGCCGTCCACTCCCTGCCCTGTGCGACAGGGGCTCCAGGACTGGTGGTTGCACTTGGATCATCCCATTCAAAAGCCACTGATGGACCTGCCCTTTACAAATTTGGCTCATCCCTTTCGATACCTATTCACGCTTCCGGCCGCCATGGCACTCTGTGGTAGTCACGTACCCAGCCCCCTGATACCTGCACTGACATGCACTGGGCAGCCTATCTTCTGACCAACAGCTCCTGAAAGGGGATTCCCTGCTTGGTCTTGTATGCAAGTTTGGCCCCTGGTAAGCGCAAAGAGGAGAGAAAAAAAGAACGCAAAGTGGAAGAAAAGTGTGGGAATGAGAACTAGCGTCCAGGGCAGGAGGCTCAGCCCTGGCCTCTCAACAACTTCCTCTCCTTTCCCCTCACTACTAAGAGCCTCGTTTCGAGTCAAATTACATGCAAAACCATTAAATTGGGGTCCCTCACAGCAGGCCTCCCACTGAGTAAAGAAGAACTAGGAAATCAGAGGGCTTCCCTTTTGATTTTGTAACTTGACGGTCAACAATCCAAGAGTTGATTTCAGCGCTGGACTGAGCAGCTGTACCTGATCTGACTCGGAAGAGCAGCATCTGCTTCTAAAAAAAATCGGTAGAGCAGCATCTGCTTCTCTCACGTTTGGCCTCGCTGCTGAACACCTTCCCTCACCGTGCAGAGGGCCTTCTCGGTACCTCCATACCACAGGTGCAGCAACATCTCCGCTAGCACTGCGCAAACCAGCTTGGCTCCAGAAGTATATCACCACGGCTTACGCAGCGCTGCACCTCAGCAACGAGCCTTGCTACTAAATACCTCGTTAATACAATTGCAACGCTGCCAAACGTAAGCTGGAGCACGTGCGCTGCACCGTGCCGCGGGGTCCGCTAACCCCTCACCTGCCCTCGGGGCCCCAAGGCCGGCTAAGCGTTGCAGGCAAGCCTTGGGCAACCCCGAGCCAGGACCGGCCCTCGGCAGCACGCCAACGGGCAGAGCCGAGGAGAGAGACCCCCCTCTGCCCGTGCTCTGCTCCAGAGCAGGATCTGATCTTACAGCCTTTGCTAAAACAGAAACGCTCTGGGAGGAAAGCCTGGCAGGGGCTGGCCCACGCGGCAGACTCGCCACGTAAGGCGAGTAGTAGTCCAGGTAGCGCGTGAAATCAGGCTTGCCCTTCAAGGCAGCGGCGTTACACCTGCCTGGGAAAGGAGAGGGCGGCTCCGCTTTGTGCGTTAAACTTGGGAATCCTCCAACGCGAGCCGCTGGCAATGCATTTATCCAGGGCGGCTCGGCTGCCTGCCTTGAACGTTAATTGGCTGCATTTCTAATTGGTGTCGCCGCACCACATTGCGACAGAGCACCGACCCTGCCCTGCTCGGCAAACAGATCTCCGAGGGAGCTGATTTGCTTCAGGCTGGGGCAGTGGC